GGTGATAACGGATGAGGTGGGGGTGGGCAGACACACAGGGCCCTGAAGCCATTCTTTAGTGGACTATGACTTCATGAGAGAGATGGGAGAACGCTGGAGGCGTCTGAACAGTGACTCATTTCTGCCTTAAATCTTTATAGTTTTGTCAAGGTTGCTGTATTGAGAACACTTTGGGGCTACAAAGGCAGAAGTGAGCAGTTAATTCAGGAGGCTAGGTAAGAGGGGACCTGGTTGGCTTTGGGCAGTAGCAGTGGTGGCTGGGAGAAGAATTCAGGTTCTGCATATATTTTGAAGATGAGCTTTGAGGATGCAACACAATTTGATGCATAGAGCTGTAGATAGGAAGGCAAGCCTGACAGGTCAGAGAGAAGGACAGAAAGAGTTCAGGGCCTGGGAAAGGTAAAACTGGGCAGGTCAGCAGGAGTGTAGAAGGGCTGCAAAGATCTGGGTGAGGGGTGTGGTTGCCACTCTGTGGGCACTGTGGCTTGGGGAAGGGGACAACTGCTCAGAGCCACACTTAGGAGACCACCAGGCAGAAGAGAAAAAGCTGAGTGGGTGGCAAGGACAGAGGAGTGGGAGGCTGTTCAGGACACTCAGGCTGCACCTTTCCAGGTCCCAGAGGCCGATAGAAAGGAAAAAGACCCTGCTTCTCTCCTACCAGGCTGTGTTGTGGATGGCCCAGGTCACTGCCCCACCTAGCCTTCATTTAGGCCACAAACAGAGGGCATTCATTCAAGGACCCTTTAGGTCAGCACCTGCATCCTTCAAATCAAGCCAGTGGGCCTCACTGGCCCCAGGTAAGGGGTTTCTTCCTGCAGAAGTAAGAAGGCAAGACCTGTCCCAGGGACAGCTGCTTCTACTGGGGTTGAGGTCCAAGAAAGATCCTCTGTGCCTAGCAATGGAGAGGAGCTCCATCAGAGACAGAATGTTCTGTCATCTAAGATTATCTAGCCTTACAGGTGGGCCACTATCCGTTCTTAGCTCTGCAAGACACACCCAGTCCTACCTGTACCCCACTTGCTTCTCCTCTGCAGATAGGCTCCCTTGAAGGCCCATTCTGCAAAATCCCCACAACTACCACTGAGAAGGCAAAGGGCAACTGAGGCATGAAGCAGAGGCACACGTGGAATGTCCCATATTTCTGATCCCAGAATCTCAGGCTTACCCTGCCCTCCCAGGAGTTTGCAAGCCCTGCCCCTGCTCTAGTTTGGACCCCTGTTATAAATAGATTTGAAATCCATTCAAAGATGCCTTTTCCCTTCTCCTGAAGAACAGTGACCAGATCCTGCTCGTATCTGGTGTGGAACCCCAGTAGAACCCTCCCAGCCACACCTCATATCCCTGCTCATATCCCACAGTTCCAAGCCAGCGCAGCTAGATGTCTACTGGATGAATGAAGAGATGTGGGGTGGTGGGCAGGACAGACCTGGGAGGCAAAAGCAAAAGTATGAAGGGAAGCTCCAGGAGTCTGGCTAGCACCATGGATCCTCCCTCTGGCCAACCCCAGGCTATGGCATGAGCAATTGCCAACATTTCCTGAGCATCCTCCATGAGCCAGGCCTCATGCACTCTGGGTGTCATTTCATTTGATCCTCACAGGAGCCTTGTGAAATAGGCACTATCACTATCCCCATGTTACAGATGCAAACAACCAAGGGACAGAGGGGTTATTTGTCCAACATCATACAACTACTATGCTACTAAGCTAGGATTCAGAAGCAGATTTGTCCGACCCCATGTGCTATGTCCTTATCTACTACACATACTGTCCCCCAGGTCACACAGGGCCACTCTCCACTGCGCTCAGTGATCTCTATCCTTAGACAAGCACAGTTATGTTCGAGGAAAGCCTTTTATAAAATTATCCAGCACCACTGATGATGATTGTTAATGATAATAAGAACTCCTCTCCCAGCCTTTTGCTTAATGTCTCCACGATCAGCTTTTTAGTCCCTAGTAGACCCCTCCCAGCCACACCTTCATGCTGGAGGTGCATGTGTGTTCTCCCCCTCCTACCATGTCTGGTCCTACCCGTGCCCCTCCCTCGCCATCCTTCCTGGAGGCACCCCAATGCATCAATACCTGCCCATTTCCCCCTGCTGGTTTCCTGCTAACATCCCCTCTCCCTCCCAGAAGGCAGCAGCATCTCTCACAAGGAACTGGACCAATTGTTCCCCAGACCATGGAGGGGAAGGGTCAGGAATTCTGATTCCAGGCACACCCTTCTGCTATGCAGATCTGAGGAGTTGATTCCTAGGTAACCTAAAATCCAGATACAGAGGCTGGCCACGGTGGATCATGCCTGTAATCTCAGCACTCTGGGAGGCCGAGGAGGGTGGATTGCCTGAGCTCACAGGTTCTGTGGAGACCAGCCTGAGCCAGAACCAGACCCTGCCTCTAAAAAATAGCCAGGCATTGCGGCAGGCACCTGTAGTCCTGGATACTAGGGAGGCTGAGGCAAGATAATCCCTTGAGCCCAAGAGTTAGAGTTTGCTGTGAGCTGTGCTGCCACAGCATTCTACCAATGGTGACAAAGTGAAACTCTGTCTCAAAAAAAAAAAA